CTCCCACGAGCCCCCTGACTCTCCTCTGGCTTGTAAAGTAAACTTACAAGCCCCTCAAACCTTGATTCAGCCTTGGCTACAATAAAAAGATAAAATGTGAATCACAGTGACATGCGGTGGGATGCTTTGGGAAGAAACAATCTTGCTGACAGTTACTAAATGGTCTTTCCTAAATTACCTTCCTTAACAATAAGGGAGGGGTGGTTAGAGGACATTTACACCCCAGTGTCCACAAAAGCACTGCAAGTCAGGAAGGGCAAAGGTCTTATTTGAGTTTAAACCTCTGGAGCTTTTGTAAGTCATCATAAATGACAGTCATTCAGCTCAAAATTTCCTGAGGAGGAGTAGGTAGCTTCCTGAGTTGTTCAACTAGTCACCATTTTTTTGTTTAATCTCTTACAAACGGAACCTGTTTAACTATGAAGCATACCATGGCAACAAAGGTTGTAGAACAGGCTGTGGGAAACGCATTCATTCATCACTACACAGAGCATGTTGTAAGAAAATGAATATTCTCTTAGGTGGTAAATGAACTCAAGAGCCTTGAGATAATCCACTGCCATCTGTCCATCCATCCCTCCCTCCCTCCCTCCCTCCCTCCCTCCCTCCCTATATCTATCTATGTGGTGTACATTTCCCTTGTCAGAAACCTTCAGAATCTTTAGCCTCATAGAATGCCTGGAGTAAGAGGTGCCTCTAGTGATCCCAATCCAACTAGAGACCCTCATCGTTCCTGGTGTCTAAGGACTGACTGAGACAGGCTGGCATGAGGGTGCGGAGCTCTCACCAAGGCCGAGAGGATGCCACGGGGGTGCTCTGCAATCTGCAGTCAGCAGCTATGAGTGTGGGCCCGGGGCCTGTGCTCCCTCTGCTTGTCTGGATGGGCTGAGGATGGTCAGTCTGCTCTGCCTTCTGCCTCCCCTTAGCTGAGGGGCCTGGCCTGCCACTCACTCTGGGGAATGTATGGAATTCAGCTCTAGATCTCTCCTAGGTCCTCTGCCACCTCCCGAGAGGCATGACAAGGCACAGCTACCCCACATCTCCATGGGTGGCCCCGTCTGGCTGTGTTCCCAGGGCCCAGCCGTGGCCTGGGCTCTGTGGCTGACACTGGCAATCTGGTCCAGGTCATTGGGCAATTTTCAAAGGGTGAAATCTGCCAAGGCTCTGAGTGAAAGCCAGTTGTTTCCCACAGCTTCTGCCCATCCGGCTGACACCTGAGCACCCGAAGCAGAGAACCCAGCAGAGCTCACAGGGACTTCAGGCTGCAGGACCACAAGCTATTTAATGGGCCTGGTTGAAGCTGATATCTTTGTAGTAACTGGCAGCAACAGAAAACTAACAGAGTGGAGTTGCTGGGATCAAGTGTAATAGAGAATTCCCTCGTTCCTTCCCTCGGCTCGAATTATAATCTTTCTTTATGCTAGATGATAAACGAGTGGTGGCCGCCTCCTCTCCAGGCCGTTAGCGTCTCCATCACTCATGTCCACTGTGTTTCCAGTTCCTTCATGGCATGCAGACTCTTGGCGACTAGAAACATGGAGCTGTCAAGAGTTCTCTTAGGCTTAGCTATGATTTTCGATCAGAGGTTCTCCATGCTGCCTGCACATCAGAATCGGCTGAGTAGCCGTCTTGGTCCATTTGTAGCTACAACAAAACACCAGATGGGAGGCTCATAAACAACAGAAAGCTGTCGTTTGCAGTTCCAGAGGCTCGGAGGCCCAGATTAAGGCAGATCTGATGTCTGGTGAGGGCCCACTTCCTGGTCCTCAGGCCATGCCTTCTCACTGTGCCCTCGAGTGGTGGAGGGACAAGGCAGCTCGTGGGGGGTTCTCAGGGCGCGAGTCCCCTCAGGGACCCTAATCACCTCCTAAAGGCCCCTGTTCCTGACACTGCCACACTGCTGATGTGGCTGCAACAGATGCATTTGTGTGAGGGGGGCACGGACATTCAGGCCATAGCAGTGGCTTTTTAAGAATGCTAATGCCGGGCCGTCCGCATGAGGTTCTGGTCCTTTAGAGCTAGGGGTAGGCCCAGACATGGGTACTTTTTAAAAAGCTCCCTGGGCAGTTCTAAAGTGCAGTCTGCACTCAGAACCAAGCCTGGTGGGCAGAGTTCTGAGATGGCCCGTGACCTCTGCCCCCTGGTGCCCTCCTATGACTGAGCTACGTTGTGAGGCAAAATGGATCTTACACGTGTGATCAGGCCTGTTAATGAGCTGACCATAAGGTAGGGAGACATTCTGGCAGGCCCAACCTTGTCACACAGGACTTCTGTCCGGCTGGGGGCAGAAGGGCTGCACCAACACAGAGCCGCCGGGTTGAAGCTGGGGTGCCATGCAGCCAGGGGCAGAGGTGTCTCGAGGCTGGGCTGAAATCAGGGTGTCCGCGGAGCGGCGCCCTCACTGGGAGGGCCTGGGAGGAGCCGCTTCCAGGCTTCTGCAGGGCGCTGACAAGTTCTTGCAGCTGTAAGATGGGGTCCCCTGTATTCTTGCTGGCTGTCAGCTCAGCTCATTCCAAGGACTCTGCCCATCACGCCCACCACCTCACCTTTCTGCCCCTTCGGAATTCTTATTGGTAATTACAATAGAGATGGAAGTTTCGATATCATAACACAAAACTAGGAGCTAAAAGTTGACAAGGAAGAGAGGCACAGGTGTTCCCAGGGCAGGAAGACAGCTAACAGGCATGAGGAGCACCAAGTCTGGGACTGAGAGTAACTTGCAGGCCTTGCTGGGAGTCTGACTTCTTCTGAAAGCAGTCCCAGGACACGTGGGTTGAGCAGAACGTCTGGGAGGGTCTCCTCCCATGAGGGCCATTTCAAGCCCAGCGAGGGCAAGCCACGCTCTTTCCTCGATTTCAATCCTGCGCCGCCTCAAGACACAGGAAACGCGACCCTGGGGCTCAGCAGGTGTGCGTGGCGCGAGTCCGACCTTGCAGAGCTGCCATCGCACCGGCCAGCTCCAGCCGACACAGTCAATGACCCTCCCAGCGCGGGACTCGGTGGGAAACAGGCCTTGATGGAGACACCAGGGCCCTTCAGGTGTGGGGAGCCGTCACTCAAGTGCACCTCCCCAGCCACTGTATGAAAATTGACCCAAACACTCAGCGCTCTCAAACACTCCTCTCCAGCTTCAACTTTCTCCACAGCACTGACCTCCTTCTAACAAGGCACATGCTTTACTTTTTCATTTTAATTAACGGTTGGTGCCCATGAGAAAGTAAGTTCCACGGGAGCAGATGTCTGCCTGCCTCATTCCCTGCGGAATCCCTGGCACCTAAAATACCTCCTGGCGCCGAGCTGGCGTGGGGAGGGCTGACACAGCCCAGCGTGCTGGCTGCGGCGACGTGAGAGCCACTTTAAGTCACACACAGGGCTGCTGGTTTTCAAAACGACGATGAACCATCTGAGCTTTCAGCTTCATTTTTGGCTTCCTATTTCTGAGACAACAAGTTATGAGGCGTCTTAGACAAACAGGTCTAAAGACAAAGAATGTTTTGTGATGAGTAAATAAAGCAAACACGTATGATTTATATTTCTGCAATGACATTTAACAATGAATGAAAAATACTCCTCAGGCAAAAAGAGTTTTGGCTTTCATCAAACATAAAATGTTTTGAAAAGTAATCTAAGATTTTCACGGAAACAAAAAAGTCATATAACTGGAAATATTATTCTCATGATTATGACTGGAAACATCTTACCATCTACTCTTTTTCCTTGCAATCTAATTATAACAATGTTATGTAATAAAGGGCTAATTCCTTCTGAAGATGTCTTTTTATATGCAATCTGGCAGCTCCCTCGGCCCACTCCTGCCAGTGAGGCATGACAGTCCTGGCAGAGGCCACAAGTGGCTCAGCCTTCTTCCAGGATTCTTTTTTTTTTTTTTTTGAGGCCGAGTCTCGCTCTGTTGCCTTGGCTAGAGTGCTATGGTGTCAGCCCAGCTCACAGCAACCTCAAACTCCTGGACTCAAGGGATCCTCCTGCCTCAGCCTCCCGAGTAGCTGGGACTTGAGGTGTGCACCACCATGACCAGCTAATTTTTCTATTTTTTATAGAGGTGAGGTCTCAGTGTTGCCCAGGCTAGTCTTGAACATGTGGCCTCAAGTGATCCTCCAGCCTTAGCCTCTCAAAGTGCTGGGATTACAGGCATGACCCACCGCACCTGGCCAAGGATCCATTCGTGACTGACTACTCTTTTTAGCTGTTTTCTTCAGTCATCCGTAATCATTCTTATTTCCTTTATGCTAAAACCTCCTGCGGTCAGCAGCTCTGACTTTGTGTCCTTTCCCATCTCCTCAGCAGCAGGGCTGGCACACTGAGGGACGCCGTGACTGAGGTACCTTCCTTCGTGGGATGGCCCCACCCTCAGAACAGGGCTGAGGCAGAGCGGCCGGAGTAGCAACAAGAACAAATGGGGTCACAAGCACATCTGCACTTTGGGAGCCTCTAGTATTTGTCATTAAGATGACCAGGTTTTTCTTCTTCTTTCTCAACACAAAATTAAAGGAAGGTAGTGTCAAAGACACAAAGATGCCAGATACCTGTATTCTTGGGCAGATTCTGATTTTAAGACATCTGAGGACAATATGACAAAGAGAATCCCAACCTTGCTAATTAACTACCTGGACCGGGGCTTGGCTGAGGCCCGGTTTTCCTGGCTGGTTTTTTTCTTCTCTGTCCTTGCAACTCCCAAAAGCTTGAGGCTGAGAAGAAGAGAGTTATGGTGCCAGAATCTTCTGAAGTTTGCACAAAGTATTATAAGAATGCAGTAAGAGCTAGTGATTTTAAAGACTGGCCTTCAGCTGCACTTGCCTCCCGCCTGGGTGCTTTTGCACAGCGCACGGATATCAAACATTCCCTGGCAGCCCTGCCTAGGAGAACAGACAGGTGACAACTACACATATGTGGGTACACCGAAGACACACGAGTGGAACACATGCTGGCACGGGACTGCTGTTGCCCAGAGCTGACTGGAAGCTGGATGACACTGCCCTTACCGCGTAGCCTTCTGTCTTCTTCTGGCACCACCTCAGCAGAGCATTGCGCTTGGAGCCGCCGTATTCGCGGGCCAAGGCTGCCAGAGGGTCTCTCCTTTCCACACTGGTTAGAAAGAAGAGAAAAAGTAAGGAGAAGTTGGTAATTTTTAGAGCCCTCAAATATACAAGAAATAAATTACTAGATTAGAAAAGCAGAAGTCTAGTTTCTTCATCAAGACTCTAAACCAGGCGCCCTCAAACTACAGCCCGCGGGCCATATGCAGGTGTTTTTGCCCATTTGTTTTTTTACTTCAAAATAAGACATGTGCAGTGTGCATAGGAATTTGTTCATAGTTTTATTTAAACTACAGCCCGGCCCTCCAATAGTCTGAGGGACAGTGAACTGGCCCCATTTAAAAAATTTGAGGACCCCTGCTCTAAAGAAACCACCAAATTAGTCACATTAATAATACATTTTTATGATGTCTCGCCGAATGAAAGAAAAATTAAACTCTGCTTCCTGAGTAAGTCTGGGGAGAGTTTTGTTTTAAAATCCATCTGTTGCTCTTTCATCTAGCCTTTTATTTGTTTACTTAGTACAATGTCAGTTGAATTAAAGATACTTGTAACAAGACACTCTGCACGTTGAAAGCTACACCTCTGCCCAAATAACATATAGAAGGTGGAGTGGGGCTGGGTGCAGCAGCGCGCCTGCAGTCCCAGCTACTCGGGAGGCTGAGGCAGGAGGGTCACTCGAGCCCAGGAGCTCAAGGTTGCTGTGAGCTAGGATCGTGCCACTGCACTCTACCCTGGGCAAAAGAGTGAGACCCCCCCCCGTCTCTTAAAAAAACAAACACCTCCCTCCCCAAAAAACATGAAAACACACAGTATGTTTCCATGTTTACAAAATTTAAAACATGCAATTTAAATAACATATTGTTTGGGGATGTCAACATATGTGGAAAAGAACTAAGAATAACAATAAAAGACAGATATTAAATTCGGAGTGGTGGTTACCTTGCAGTGGGGGGCCAGACAATGCAAGTCCATAGGGGTTGATAGAAAATTTCAAAAGTAACAATTTTCTGTTCATTACACTGGGAGGTGGGTTATCTGGGTGGATCTCCATGTGTGTTATTCTTTATACCTAACACATATTCTTTTTTATCCATTTAGTATTTAATAAAAATATTTTAAAATTATTTTAAAAGGAGTAATAGCATGACTTTAGACCTCAGCGATACAAACTAAGGTAGAAAAATTTAAAAAACAGTTCATACTTGAATTTTTTTTTTTTTTTTGTATAATTTGATGACTGCTTTTCTATGCCTCTGGCAGATTTATAAAGTCAAGTCCATGAGCTTTTTTGGTCAGAGGTGCTGTTAACTACAAAGTCATGGTAACTTTGCCTGCATTTACCATGCCTGGTCTCATGTCATCCCTTAGAACTGAACTTCTACCCTTGACAAATTATAGAAGACTGAAATGAAAGTTTGGAAAAGAATTTCTGTATAAATGGATGGCTAAAAAAAGCTAACCGAATATGCCTGCCAAAAAATTTAATAATAATAGAATGAGAACTTCTAAAGTAAGTTCTATCCTGCCAATGGTTTGCCTCCATGACATGAATGTAAAATTGAAATAAGAAATTTTACTAATTTAATCTTTCACAATGAAAGGTAAAATATCAATAGCATATTAATATATACAGAGCCTTTCTGTGTGCATTCCTGGCATAAAGAAAAGGACAATTTCAGAATAACACTAATTCTGGTCCTTACAGCCTCTTTTGTTTATTTAAATCTCTTGCATACAAACAGGTTAATATGTAGTATCTGGGGCTTTAAAGTAAACCTCTGAAACATATGACTTCATCTATTTGGGTTCAAATATAGGCTACACCCAAAGATACAAGATCTGAACTTATTCAGACTTTCATAAATCCTTTTATAATACCCACATTGGTAATTATAATATTTATTAAAACCTATTACTCATAAAGTAACCAGTTTTGTATACTGATTCATCTACCCATTCACAAGTATTTGCTGAGTGAAATGTTATGTGTGTTTCACAACATAAGGGGCTGGGAAAGGTGCCAAAATGTAAGTCAAAAACATTTACTATCCACTGAATTTTAGCCTAAATGGGGACAGAGACATATACCGTGCACTTGTTACCCACACGGCAAAGTAGTACAGTAATTAAACACCCAGAGGAACGTCATACACCAAAGTTAGAGGAGGGAGATGCCAATGCTGCCAGGGTGGCTGCTGCTCAACTTCATGGAAGGTCCGACCTTGAAGGAGAAGCAGTGTTTAGGACTGTGGAGGGACAAAAGGAAGGCAAGGCAGGCTAGAACTTTATAAACAAAGACTTGCAGTCAGAAATGCTCATGTGATACTGCAAAGGCAGCAGCAAAACAGGCTCAGGTGGAGAGGGCAGGGACATTCTGGCAGGTGACTGGGGGTGGAGGGGTGGCACTAAGTCATGGAACATCTAGAAGACCAGGATGAGGAATGTGGATGACAGAGAGTCATGGGAGGTTTCTGCAAAGTCTGTGACAGGATGCGCCCACTGCTTCAGAAGACTAACCAACATGAGGAAGCAGGGAAGACTCAGAAGAGAGAGGAAGCAGCTAAAAGGGGCTTGCTGTGGCTTGGGTGACAGGGGCACTAAAAAGGGAGGAGGTGGCAGAGTGTAGGAGCACAGATAGGCTCCTGGCGACCACCCCATCAGCCTGCTGTCTTCTCCTTCCCCCACCCTTTCCTTCACATCCCTGAGAAAGTCCTCCTTAAATACTGATTTCAAAATGCCTCTCTGCCTTATATGCCAGTTTTCTGATTAATTCTCCTTTAAGTACAGGTCTGATCTCACTATACCACTGCTCAAAACCAAAAATAAAATCCCACAAACTTAGTGGTTCCCCAGGACTTTACCAAAATAAGTACACATCTCTTCTCTTAGCAATAAAGACTATTTGCAATAAGGCCCCAACCTGCCTTTCCAGCTGTAATATCCTAGACATCTACCCATCTACCCAGCAAATACTGAGGGAGACCTACCGTACGCATGGCAGGACCCTGCCCTCATGAAGCCCACAGCCTGGTCCAGACACACAAAAATGCCCGCTGCTCCCTGAACACCGTCCATGGCTTGCTCACAGTGGTGCCCTTACACCCCCGGAAGAACTGCCACTTCTCTCTAGACCTCTTGATCAACTAAAAACCCCCAGGGCTTTGCTCATACAGCATGTTTTCCGTAGCCCTTCATTTCATTTTGCACACCGCCACTGTCCAGCATCCTCCTTTTGACCCATTCAGGGCAGGTGCTGCGTCTTAATCATGTTCATTCAGGAAGTATTTGTAGAAGTAAATCGACCATGGGGGATAAAACAGAAGGAATAAAAGGTTATCAGTCCAATGTTTCTCTGATCTTTTACTGTTGAAAACATGATACCTGAGTTTGCTCTGTGGCTTCAGGCCCCTGGCGGAGGAGCTCAGCAGTCCTGAGTTCCTGAAGCCCAGAGAGGGGGGTCTGCTCAGGGACTCGAGTGAGGGGCTCTTTTGGAGGTAAGGGTCTGGCTTCAGGTCCTCAGCCCTTCCTTGTAGAAGATCTGTGTGAACGACAACACAATCACCTAATCCTGAAGAAGAGCAACTTGGCCGTCATACTTAACTCTCAAGTACAACACAATTCTCATTCCATTCTCCAGCGCAAATGTACCTATCTTACACACACACACACACACACACTTCCTAAAGTAGTAACAATACAAACAGAGATGCAGTGTTTTCTAGAGAAGATTCTCTAGGCACCCCCAACTACGCCACTTACAGGACCTCGTGTCAAATCGGCCCCTTTTTAAAAACGTAGGATGAATTTCAAGACAGCGTCACTGAGCACCACGCCTAGCATGGGCCCCTCTGAAGCCTTATGCAAGGGCTCACAATGCCAGCCCTGCCCCCAGGTAGTGCGTTTTGTTTTAATCGATGGACATCTGAAAGAGCTGGCAGGAAAATGCCTGGTGTGAGTGACAGGTCACAGGCAGCAGTGAACGAAAGGCTGGGAACCAAGAACACCTATTTCACAACCACAGGGCCCGGCTCACTACAAAACAAGTAGGAATAATCCTGCTATTTTCTTTCTTCCTTTCTGCTGTAATATCAGTCTGAGTCCAAACAGGTAACAAAATGGGCTGAATCCTCTAGATGATGTTTCTTTCTTTCCTTTCGGTTTTGAGAGGTAGTCTCACTCTGCTGCCCAGGCTGGATGTGGATTTGGCCTCCCGGGCTCCAGGGATCCTCCTGCCTCAGCTTCTCGAGCAGCACTGTGCCTGGCCAGGTGATGTTTCTTTAATGGCCATAAAAGTGTAGAACAAGAGAAAATTTTCAAGGTTGTCTAGTTTAGATCTATAGAGGAGACTGGAGCTGGGAGAACTAAGTGTCTCGTTCAAAGCTGTACAACAGAAAGGGGCCGGCCACGCCCACAGCTGCCTCCTAGGACCCACAAAGAGTCAGGGAAGAAAACAGCACTCTGCAGGGACAGCCACCAATTATGGGTGGTCAGGTGGGGAGTGAGGCTGGTCTGCGCTGAATAACAGAGAAAACGGTGTTTACAGCACTAGAGAACAACAAACAGCACACTCATCCCGATTCTGCAGCTTCTGATGACCTCAATGTTGACAAGCAACTGCTGGAAGGTGCTGGAAGCAAGTGGTTTTCACCCGCAATCTTCTTTTTTTTATTATAGTAAACAGAATCATTCCAGCAGAAGGGTGTAGGGGGAGGGTTGTCAATGAGGCGTCACTTCAGAGCAATGGCTGCTGTGGTCTCGGCTTCAGAATTTATCTTGTCAATTAAAAGAATGGTCTTTTTACACAGTAGCTGGTGGAACAGGGAGAAGATGACACAAATATTATGATCAAAAGCTCACCTAGTCCACTTAACAATGGTTAAGATGGCAAATTTTATGTTAGGTGTCTTTTGCCACAATTTAAACTGAAACGGCTCACCTAGCACCACGCACATACCTAAGTCACTCCCTGCGTCACATGGCGCAGCAAGCACGGAGATGCGGAGCAGGCAGTTTCCATGCGCTGTTTTGGCCGCCCTGTTTCTGGGTCTCCAGCTCCACCTAACCCCTTCTCTGCTTTTTTCTCCTAACTTTGGACTACCCACTGGTCTTAGTCTTCATTCCCTTCTCCTGGGAGCCGTTATTAGGACCAGAAATCCTAGTGATACATAGACTCTTACCACTTCTTCATGAAGCTGCTCATCAGAGCACTCACTGGCCCAGCACCAAAAGGCCACATGGCAGAAGGAGCCGGACATCCTGGTCCCGGCCACTCAGCCTCTGTGAGGCTTGCAATCTCTCACATGTAAAATTCGAGGAATGGGCCGAGATCATCTCTAAATTTCTCAATGTCAATGTTTATCGAAGTCTAAAATGCTTATTTAATGCCATGAAAATGCAAACAAGATTCACAAGGAAAGCTTGCCTCACAGAAACAACGATTTTTTTTTTTTCTTTTTTTTTGAGACAGAGTCTCACTTTGTTGCCCAGGCTAGAGTGAGTGCCGTGGCGTCAGCCTAGCTCACAGCAACCTCAATCTCCTGGGCTCAAGCGATCCTTCTGCCTCAGCCTCCCAAGTAGCTGGGACTACAGGCATGTGCCACCATGCCCGGCTAATTTTTTCTATATATATTAGTTGGCCAATTAGTTTCTTTCTATTTATAGTAGAGAGGGGGTCTCGCTCTTGCTCAGGCTGGTTTCGAACTCCTGACCTCGAGCAATCCGCCCGCCTCGGCCTCCCAGAGAGCTAGGATTACAGGCGTGAGCCACCGCGCCCGGCCCAGAAACAACGATTTTAAGGGCAAGCCTAACTGTGTTCCACCATCATCTGAAAGAAGCCCAGTGCACCTGGATTGTCTTTTTATCCAGAAAACAATGTAGAATTTTTTTTTTCTTTTGGAGATAGGGTCAGAAGTTTTGTTTTATACTTAGAACAAAAGGATTTCTGTCTATGTGATCTAGATTTGGGCTTTCTCTCCCTCCTGTGGGCACAGTACGTAGTTCACTCAATGTTGCTTCTGCCGTTTTGTCCCTACGGTGACCACACAGACACGCGCGTCGTCCCCACAGCCTGTACACTGGGTGACGTCAGTGTCCTGCTAGGCTGGAAGTGCCACTGTCCCCGCCGTTCCGCAGAGAGGAGTGGGCGGACGGCAGCAGCAAGCCCTTCTCTAGTGCTCGCCACACCCGGCCGCATGCTAAGTGCTTTAAGCGTGTTGGCTGAATCCTTGAAATGTCCCTATGAGGCAGGTAGGATTGTTCCTGTTTTAGAGATGAGGAAACCAAAGCCCAGAGAGGTGGAGGAACGTGAGTGGCAGTGCCAAGGCTCAAGCCAAGAAGACCTGCTCCTGTGCCCCCCTCTTTATTGTCAGCCGTCAGCGTGGATAGTGCAGCGCAAAACCAAACAGGATGAGTGAGGACTGCTGATTACGACCACCACTTTATGAGCAGGGTTTGAATTTTTAAAAAAATATTGTATGGACAGGGAGTGGTGGCTCACACCTGTAATCCTAGCACTTTGGGAGGCCAAGGCAGGAGGATCACTTGAGCCCAGGAGTTCGAGACCAGCCTGAGCAACACAGGGAGATCCTGTCTCTACAAAAAATTTAAAGATTAGCCAGGCATGGTGGCGCATGTCTGTAGTCCCAGCTACTCGGGAGGCTGAAGGCAGGAGGATAGTTTGAGCCCAGGAGTTTGAGGTTACAGTGAGCTGTGATCACCTCAATGCACTTTAGCCTGAGCGACACAGCAAGACTGTCTCAAGAAAAGAAAAAACATGGTATAAAATGAGAGGAGAATTATAGTCAAAGAAAAAGGTATCTTAATAGAGGCCTATTTTAAGAACTGTGGAAGCAGTGGACAAATTCAAAATCAGATAAGGTATTTTCCCCCTGAAATAGTAATTTTTTAAAGATTAGAAAATATTCTCTTGAGATTCAATTTTGCAAACAGCGAAGTCTGGCCCTTCGCTAGCACAGCAGGCCAGCAGGCGCGGCTGGTAGGAGGCGCTCTTCCCTCTCGCTGGGGCGCTGCTGAAGCATGCATTTAGGGGTTGACATCTCTTGGAATAAATGTCACCGATTATCTTTCTAAGCTCAGTTTCATGCAAAGAAACGGAAAGCTAACTATACACACACACACACACACACACACACAAATTAAGTCACAAGCATTTCCTGTTCAAGGCGGTTTACCTGAGAGGGCAAGGTCAGGCAGATCCAAGCGCGGAGTCACTCCTTTGCTGGCCAGCCGTGCACTGCTGTAAGTCGAATGTCTCTACAAAGAGCAAGGGCACGCCGGCACGGTGAGCTCGTGGTGTCGTGAGTGGCACAGACACAGGTGCGCACGCATGCGTGTGCACACACAGCAGCTGTGAAGCTCAGCAGAATCACCAGCGGGGCTCTTAAATTATTTATTTGAATAGGTGATAAAAAGGGCAAGTAGTAAAAAGAAAGTCTCTTTTTCCTCCCCAGTTCTTCTCCCCAAGGGTGACCATTATTAATCAGCTTTGTGGATCTCCTTCCTGGAATAGTCTACGTATGCTCGAGGATGTGTTTAGAAATACTGTTTTTAAATGGCCAACAGGTATATGAGAAGACGTTCAACATCATGAATCAACAGGAGAATCCAAGCCCAAACCACAATGCGACACCACCTCACACCTGGCCATCACCAAAAACAGAAAACAACAAAGACTGATGAGGAGTGGAGAAACTGAAACCCTTGTGCACTGCTGGTGGGAGCGTACAATGGTGTAGCCATTATGGAAAACAGTACGGAAGTTCCTCAAAAACTCAAAAATAGAACTACCATATGATCCAGCAATCCCACTTCTAGGTGTTTATCCAAAAAAACTGAAAACAGGATCTCAAAGAGATATTTGCACTCTCATATTCATTGCAGCATTATTCACAAAAACCAAGAGGTGGAAACAACCTAAATGTCCATCAGCAGATGAACGGATAAAGAAAAATGTGGTCTATCCATATAGTGGAATATTATTTAGGCTTCAAGAGGAAGGAAATCCTGGCATATGTTGTAACATGAATGAGCCTTGAAGACATTATGCTGAGTCAAACAGGCCAGTCACAAAAGGACAGATGCTGCGTGGCTGTCCTTACATGAGGGTCTCAAGCAGTTAAACTCGTGGGGGCAGAAAGTAGAGTGGCGGCTGCCGGAAGATGGGGGCAGGGGAGCTGCTCAGTGCGGAGTTTCGGCTGTGCAAGATCTGCTGTGCCGTGTTGTGCTCATAGCTACCGCCACTGTGTTGTACACTTAAAGACTTGTTAAGAGGGTAGATTTCATGTTACGTGTTTTACCACACTAAGAAAAAGCATTTCACCTAGCTCTCTGGGAGGCCGAGGCGGGCGGATTGCTCGAGGTCAGGAGTTCGAAACCAGCCTGAGCAAGAGCGAGACCCCATCTCTACTATAAAATAGAAGGATATTAATTGGCCAACTAATATATATACAAAAAAATTAGCCGGGCATGGTGGCGCATGCCTGTAGTCCCAGCTACTTGGGAGGCTGAGGCAGGAGGATTGCTTGAGCCAGGAGTTTGAGGTTGCTGTGAGCTAGGCTGACGCCACGGCACTCACTCTAGCAAAAAAAAAAAAAAAAAGAAAAAAAAGAAAAAGCATTTCAGAATGCAAGTATGTATGATATTAAAAGACAAATTTTTAAAAAAATCCTGTTTTTATAAAAACACAAAAGTTCACATTATTTTGCATACTATTTTGCTTTTTTCACTTAATGTATCTTGGAGATCACTGCAGTACCCACTATGTGACAGCTTCACACGAGAACTCCATATAAGGCCACACGGCACAGAGGCAAGCACATGGCTTTGGAGCCAGACTGCCGCCTCCCAGCTGCGTGACTCTGGGCTGCTTAACTCTCTGTGCTTTCTGTTCTTTATCTGTTAGGTATAAAATGTCAGTGATACCAATAGCACCTTCCCCCGAGGGTTATAGGGAGGATTGAATGAGTTAAAGCCATTTAGAACAGTCAAAATAGAGTCTGGCCTCTATTAATACTGGGATTGGCGTTGATGTGATATTAGTATTAGGAACAATGCTGTTTGGCCCATGAAAGAGAAGGGCCATTTGGGACTTTCTGGAGCATTCTTTCCTTTAGAGGCCCTACTCCATATCATATTAAGCATGATACAATGTCCTCATGTCCCCACATAAATACAATTATTGTGACATACAATTTTCAAAAGTATTTTTCCATCTTGGTTTTCAAGTTATTTAACTGAATAAAAGTAACAACATAGGGCGTCCTTGTCCCATTCATAGTCTTGTGTGAAAGTGTTCAGTATTCTACCATTAAGCATGATGTCTGTAGATACACAGTAGAGACTCTTCATCAGATTAGGGAATTTCCATTTTATTCCTAGTTTTCTAAGAATTTTCATCAAGAAAAGGTATTTAGGCCAGTGTGGTGGCTCATGCCTGTAATCCTAGGACTCTGGGAGGCTGAAGCAGGCAGATCGTTTGAGCTCAGGAGTTCGAGATCAGCCTGAGTAAGAGCGAGACTCCGTTTCTATTAAAAAAATAGAAAGAAATTAGCTGGACAACTAAAAATATATAGAAAAAATGAGCCGGGTATGGTGGTGTATGCTGTAGTCCCAGCTACTCAGGAGGCTGAGGCAGGAGGATCTCTTGAGCTCAGAAGTTTGAGGTTGCTGTGAGCTAGGCTGACGCCACGGCACTCACTCTAGCCTGGGCAACAAAGGACTCTGTCCAGGAGAGGGAGAGGGAAAGGAGGGGAAGGAGAGGGGAGGGAGAGGAGGGAGGGAGGGGAAAGAGATGAGAGAAAAGAAGAGAAAAGAAGAGAAAAGAGAGAAAAAGAAGAGAAAGAAGAGAAAAAGAAAAGAAAAGAAAAGAAAAGAAAAGAAAAGAAAAGAAAAGAAAAAAGAAAAGGACTACAGGATCTTCAGTGATGTTCCCTTTTTAAAATTCACAATAAAGGTAATTTCTGGCTTTTCTTTTCTTTGTAGCAGTCTTGCCAAAGGTTCATCAACTTTAATAGTCTTTAAAAGAACAAACTTCACACAAATCTCTTTTAATAGTCTCTTCACTATAAGTATGCTAGTTAAAAAATCTTTTTTTATTTGACCGAAAGCATCTTTCTTTTGTGTTCACCTTCGAAGGCTATCTCCCCACGAGCGCCATTCTGGCCACAGCTGGTCCTCCCCGCTGTGCAGGTGCGGCGCTGCCGCCTGGCCAGCGCTGGGGTGGGGACGGCCACTGGCCGCTTTGCTCTTGCTCCTTGTCGCCAAGGTGTCTTTTTCCTTTGGGTGCTTTTAGAATACTTTCTCATTCATTTCCAGCAGTTTTAACCTAACACGTCTAGGTATGATTTTCTCTGTACTTATCTTGCTTGGGGTTCATACTGTTTCTTGAATCTGGGGCTGGACACCTTTTATCAGTTTAGGAAATTCTTGGACATTATCTCTTCCAAATTGCTTCTGCCCTGTCTTTCCCACCCCCACTTTGGGGGTCTCCAATTACACACTAGATCTTTTCACGCCATCCCATGTGTCTCTTATATCCTTTTCTCCATTCCGTGTCCTTCTTTTCCTCTGTGTTTTGGTTTAGGTATTTCTACTCTAAGAGAGGCTTAAAGAACTGAAGACAGGTCAGTAGAAATATCTACAGTCTTTGTTGAGTCTTTAATTCAGGTACTTTAAGTTACAGAATTTCTTATGGATTCTTTTTTTATAGATTGTGGTTTTCTCTCCACCTTGTCATTTATTTTCTTGAATGAATTAATCTCAGTTGTTTTAAAGCCCATGTCTAATAATATCAACATCTGGACCTCCTCTGTCTGTTTCTATTGCCTAATTTCTTATCTTGGTTTTTCATCATTTGGTATTTTCTAGTTATATGCCTGGTTTTATTTTTGTTTTCTTGTTTTTATTTTTTTTCTACATGACACTGTATTTGAAAAAATGTGGATATAATTTGAGATTATAGACGATGTAATTTTCCTCCTTCTGCTTCTAGAAGATATTTAAAATAGGGGAGACCATCTAAATCCAAACCCAAGTTTCTATGGGTTTTAAGACTAAACAAAAGGCTTCTTGAAGATATTAATGGACAATATTTTCATAATCTAATAGCTAAAAAGACATTTTAAAGCAGGAAACAAAAACCCTTAAAGTTATAAAGGAAAACACTGAACACAAAAATGTAAAATTTCTCTTAAATAAAAGATAACTATAAACAAAGCTAAAAGATAACAGAGAAAATATAATACATATGAAAATAAAGTTAAAAGCATAATATATCAAGATGTCTTACAAATAGGAAGAAGACGAACACCTCAAGAGAAAAACAGGCAAAGTATATAAGTGTTCATAAACACACAAAAGATATATAAATGTCCTATGAAAACATTAAGGAGTGCTCCACCTTACTGATGAACAAAGTAAAACAAGATATCATTGTTTTCCAAGATGTCAATTCAATCCACAACATTTATAAATAGTGTCAAACTTCTGGGAAAACAGCATTTTATATACTGTGAGTGGAAGTATAAATTGAAGTTTTATAAGTATAAATTCAAGTTTTTCAACATTCCAGGACACAGCAAATCCATTTCCCTTTCTTAGGACTCAATTTGTGGCAGATTTCAGGACTGGCTCACTCGACTCCATTCTGGTCTCTTTGTAGGGTGATTTACTGAATTATAAGAGACTGGAAAGCTAAAAGGTGTATTTGCCAAACTCCTGTAAAGCTTGGTTCATTAGCGACCTAGCTTCCATCACACAGCCCACTCTCAGAAGATCTGGAAGGAACATGGGAGTACAAGGCCACCTTACTGCAGCTTCTACTGGCAAGCGTGGCTGTGAAGGCACGTGCTCTTCTGTGGCGGGGGTAGAGGTTCTGGCGTCTGTCCCATAGCCTTCTGGGAAAGATGGGGCAGGGCACACAGCATGCACTCTGCTGGCATGGACTGCACGTATTGCAGTGTGGACCTGAAGCCAATCCTAGATCTTGACAGAAGTTGTAGTCCTAGGCTAACAGCTAGACAAAGTCTTCCTGATTCTTGTGGAAATAAAAGCTCGTTCAATGGGCCAACTTTTACTTGTTCTGGGAACCTTTCCTGGAAGATCTGTGCATACTAGAGCCTTTTCCTCCAGCCCTTCCAGTACCAAACCCCCTCTATTAAATTCCTTTTTGCTTAACTACAGTGATTTTTGATATTTGAAAATGAATATTGATATATCCTTATACAGAAATAGGCCCTTAAGTAGTCAAAAATGTGTACAAGGATCTTCACTGTATTGTTTTTGTAATAAGTTAAATCCAAAACAACATAACTATCATCAATAGAAGAGTGGCTAAATAAATCACCACATAGTATGTAGTCTTTGAAAAATGAATTATTTCTCCAATTATTGACATTTAAAAATGTCTCAAATATTTGTTCATTTCTTCAACAAATATTGAGATTCTACTATGTTATGACAATGTGCCAGCCACTGTTCTAGACAAGAGATATAATAGCAAGCAAAATAAAGAAAAATCCCTGCCCACACAGAGCTTACATTACAGTGATAAAGTGTCAGAATAATGTGTAGTGTAATCCAATTTACAAAACAGACACATACACTCTCTCCACACACACACAAATATGTGTAAAGAAAAACACCTACAGGGATACACAACAAACCACAAGCAGTGGTTCTTTCTGTGGCTTGTCTACTACCTGCATTGGAGAGACAGCAGCCGCTGGAGTGGTCCTCACTGGTATTCCACTTAGGGGGCTTCTGGGGGTCTTATGAACAGCAATATTCTGTCCAGCTCCACCTGCCAAGAAAAGAGATGGTAACATTCATATACTGTTCCAGTTCAAAACAGCAAATAATAATTCTTGATTTTTTTTTTTTTTTTTGAGATAGAGTCTCACTGTGCCATCCAGACTATAGTGTGGTGGCGTCTGCCTAGCTCACGCTCCTGGGCTCAGGCGATCCTCCTGCCTCAGCCTCCCGAGTAGCTGGGACTACAGGCATGCGCCACCATGCCCAGCTAATTTTTCTATATATTTTCAGTTGGCTAATTAATTTCTTTCTATTTTTAGTAGAGATGGGCTCTCACTCTTGCTCAGACTGGTTTCGAACTCCTGACCTTGAGCAATCCTCCCGCCTCGGCCTCCCAGAGTGCTAGAATTATAGGCGTGAGCCACCATGCCTGGCCATAATTCTTGATTTGTTGTTACTTTTTTGGTGACTTAAAAAGTGTCCCATGATGTTTAGTGTAACATTTACTCTATTATCCTTTTCTGCTCTGGACTAGAGTTGAATTGGGGAAATGAGAGAGAAGGAGTTAGCTGAGTGAGGGTAAGTCTTAGACATAGCATAACCAAGAAAACAGAAAATGTATATATAATGTACCTACAAGAGGAAGAAACAGTAAAGTTCTTGTACAAACTATTACAGTTAATTCATTTCCCATCTCCACAGACTAACTCACTGGGCTTTCAATCTTTCCATATGTGTAGTCTAATCTTAATCTAACTTAGCTGCAGTTATTTCAGCAAAGATAACCAGGCACAATCTAGAATTAGCTTTTACTACAGTCTTCTGATACAATGACATATTTGTTGTGGTCAAGGTAATAAAGATATTGTTATTTGGATGCACACCATGTTTCTATATTTTCTATATTTATGTGTGTATAGTATATGTATAAAGTATAGCTGTGCATTTTCTCATATATGTAGATAGGCACAACTGAAGGGGACCACGAGTCAGCCAGACATGTCCAGCAAGGCTGGGGGTGCACCAAGATCAGGAGTGACAGAGCAGCACAGGCGGGCACACACAGGACCAGCTGAAGACCGTCTAGCAGCAGGTTGCAAGATGGGAATGGCCACAGGTCCCAGCAAGAGGGCCTGATGCACAGGACTGATGCCCCACTTCCTAGGAGGTGAGGCCTCTGGTGACCCTGCTAATTCCCGAGATGGGAAGAAGGCAAACAGTAGGGACGGGAATTTAATGGCTGTAAGAGGAGGGAAAGAAAGGTGGCAAGGAACTGGAGTGGGGAGGAACTGGAGCAGGGAAGGAGGTGGAGAGAAAGAGGCGGCTGTGTTTGTGTCGTCTGTGAGCCAGGCTCTCTCGTTGCCTCCCTGGAGCTCAGCCAGGCTGCTGCACACTGCAGCCGCATGTGGTGTGATCTAGAGAGCCCTTGTGGTTCTGTCAACTTGGGGCCAGTGTGGAGTAGGGACAGGCCTGGTACGTCAGGCCTGGTTTCAGTTTGGAGCTCGGCTTATGGAAAGCAATGAGTAAATACCTGGGCGGCCCACATCAAATGACTTGATCAGTGACTTAACAGTGGCCGCGGACTCCGCAGGCGCTGGAGAGGCCCTGTTAGCGTGGACGCCGCGCCACCAGCCGGGAGCATCGACCTCGGAGGACTCTGGCTCTTCATCGACAGGTCTGCACAGTAAAGAACAAATCAGATTGAAAAGGCGGAGGATGAGGAAAAGACACAGATGGAAACAGAACTGATGTGGAGGAAATAAACAAAACTGTAAGAAGAATCCTAAATTTAAAGTCCTGTTCTATCAGCTTTGCATCTTTAGGAAATAACATAGGTATTGCTCTCAATTTTTAAGAGATTTTTTTTTAAATAGCCAGAAATAGTGTTTTTATATGTAAAGTAACTAGACATTGGCTCTAAATAAAAAATATGTGTGCCTATTCTATAAATTTTAAAAACAATGTTATTTATCATAAATACTAGCCTGCTATCAATGGTAGATATAATGAATTGGTCTCAACATGTGCTCCAAACCCCACGTGGCATACAGAGGTTAGAAGGATGACTCTCCTGCAGCAAGAACTTCAGATGTGATAGCTCCAGCAATCAGAAAGCCTTGGGCAAGATCTGGAGTGGGCCGTGAGTCAGGGGAAGAGAGGCAGGGCACAGGGCAGTCACTGTGCTGAAAGAGACTGTAGCAGAGACAGGATGCTTCTGGTGCTGGTGACTGCAGTGGTAGCTTTCCAACTGGAGCAACAGCCTCCTGATTCTGAGGCTTCTGTCCTGGTTTAGGCAGCAGCTTCCCTGGTGGTCCAGTTCTGTGTTGGGACTTTGGGAACTGTTCCTGGAAGCTCAGCACTGCCAACAATTCTTCAAGTCATTTAACATCTTTCCACCTAAGCCAACTGAGTGTAATCTATTATGTACAACAGAATCCTGACTTATATACTCTTTGCCCTATAAGAGTAAGAATGATAACAGTACTCTAAAATAACACTGCAATTCTACATAAGGTGAAGCTTTTGCTCTCACCCAAATTTCCTGGTATGTTCTTCATGCTTTGCTTTTGTTGTTTTAAATGTGGCCCCTAAATGTAAAGCAGCTATTTCTTCTAAGATGCAACTAAAGAAAGAGCAAACTATTAAATGCTGTAGGGAAAACTAAAGTATTAGACTTATTGAAAGATGGTATGTTTGTATACAGTTGTATTTACAAAAGTATGGCTTCCAAATTCAAGCACAGACTCACAGAAGGTCTTTTAGGATAGATCATCTGACTCAACCCTCTCATATATGGCTTCCTCATCTATGGTACTTCGCATGTCATTTAATCTCCCTGTGAATGAGCCAAGACAAGAACTCCCAATCTTCTGATTGCTAAATCACTATTCTTTTCCTTATATCATATTGCCATAGCTGTTTTGCAAGATGACTAATTTATGAGAATAGTTCAAACAGAATGTTTCTGGAAGTATATTTTAATAAGGTCAGTGGAAGTTTAAAATATTTATTTACTGATCTTTTTGAAATTAATCTAGCTACTCATAAGCTTCTGTGGTTGAATTTACTTCTTAATTTTCCAAGCTTTCTTCTATTGCTGTGATCAAGATGAATAGAAGAAATTGAAGTGAAACAGAACTTAAAACATTAAACCACCCTGCTGTACACTCTTGACCCCACAACCCCTTGGTGTGAATGGAAATAAAACCAGTAAGCTGAAAACTGCTTTGGAAGAAACTATCAGGCATTTCAGAAATTGCAGAGGGATGGGTTTAAAAAACCTTTTTAAAAGCTTTATTGAACGGAATTGGTTTTCATATGTTCCCCTTTGTGTTATACACAGTATGAAGTATGAGATCAGGTGGTAATATGCAGAAAGAGAATGAATCAGGTTAGGTCTGGGCAGAAAAAAATCTCCTACTTCTATTCCAGCCATTCTCAGGAAGATCGCCAACAAATGGTCACCTGTCCATTTACATGACTGGGCACCAAAGAGCCTCCAAGGAAGATATTTAAAGAACTCCTTTTCATTTCATTCTTTGATAATTTAATAAGAATAAAATGGAGAATCCTATAGTCTACAGAGGTATTCCTTTCAGTTATCTAAGTTTCTTCGTGATGCAAAATATCAAATGCTAAGTTGACTCACTTAGATTTCATAGGAAGGCCACAGAATCAATTTCCAGTGCTCTTGCCTTCAGATACCCAAAGACAATACTTCAAACAATCAGTCTGCTTGGCTAGAACAATAATGGTCGGCATGAGAAAACACTGCATTATTAAGTAGATTAGAGAAATACCCGCTAAATACCCACCATATTGCATAACAGCAATTAGGGTGTGTGTATAGGAGGGGTTCACAAAACAAAGCCTGAATTGAAAAACCACAGAAAACAGTTATTAAGAATACTACTCGTTTTATCAGTATGTTCTTTAATCACAAATAAGCTTGAAATTCCTTGCACTGGCCTGCCTTAGAATTGTTTGGGATCAACCAGTAACATCCCAGCAATAAATGAAGTATTACATGTACTCTGTTTCAATGAACAAAAAGTCTGTATTCTACAAAGGATATTAAGAAATATTTACACATACAGCCAGGTTTATCTTAGTAAATTCACTGAATAAGAGAAAAATTGCAAGGTACCATCACTGGTTAAATATTTATTCAAGTCTAGTTATCGCCTGTAAGGCTGATGTTCTAAAGTCAACTTGTAAAATAAAAATCACACATATAGTCAAATAAGCCTTGAAAATCCCTCAAGTTACTCAAAGTACTTACATGGTTTTGTAATACAACTATATACAAATATACCCTCTTTCAATAAGTCTAACCTGTTAGTTTTCCCTACAGCATTTATTTTTTATAATTTTTTTGGAAATTCTTTACAAAATTTAAGATCTCACGTCCTTATTAAAAAAGTGCATTACATCAAGATTAGAAAAGACACTTGTTTTTACGAGGACTACTCATCTACTCATCTATTTTACCCCACGATTCATTTCCTACCCTAACATTAATGACAAAATATTTTTTCTTTCTTCTTTTTTTCCCTCCTGCTTTGAAAGGGCAACTGCTGTGAGGGATATCTTAACAGAATGTGCCAATTAATCCCTGCCAGGAGCACAGCAGCCTCCCAGTGGCTGGACTTAGCCATTGGCATGCCTTTTCCCTGAGCCCAAAGGCCACTAAACCCTGCACTTACTTGCAACCTCTCTCACAAACTCTACTTTAAAACAATCTTAAATTTTAAGCACTCAATAATTGCTTAAGGAATGAATAATTGCTTAAGGGATCTAAAATTAATTTACTACTTTAATTACCTTAGCAACTATTTCTGTATAAGAATCTCAAAGTTAATAAAAATTATATAGATGGAGAATGACCCAATACTAAAGGAATGAATTCGAAGAGCAAATACATTTTATAGCCTTGTCTCAAAATAAAATCAGTCCTACAAAATACAAAATGTTAAGAATGCAATTTACACACAGTAAAAACGATTTGATCTGTCTTCAGTATAAAAGTACTTTTAATTTCTTTACTGCAGGTACTATGGCATCCAAGTCATCAACTTCTAAGATTTCAAGTAGATCATTAGTAAGTGCCTGAAAGTCTAGGAAAAATTCCTCGTGTTCTTCCAATTTGTTGATAATGTTCTTCAGGTCCTAGTACCTGCTCACCCTGCTCATTCACACCCTCATCAATCACCCTACACAATTCCCAATTGTGCTTACCAGCACACACCATGAGCATGCATTACCTAATTCTAAGAGTTCTTGGAGGTTCTCACAGGACGGTTCATTCCTCCAAGCCTAGTATAAACTTCATTCATTCAGGATAGACTCCATTTAAAGAAGGCACATCAAATAATTTTTGGAAGTGAAAAATAATAGCTTGCAACATTTCACAGTTTGGCATATTGCTGTCCTTTTCCTTATTTTCAACTTCTTACAACATGGTATCTACAATAAACAACAAATCTTCAGCTTTGATACCTTTATTTTCATCCTACTTCTTTAAATTATGGCAAGGCATCAGTTCTGCAGATAGTATCTTCAAATCCTGGAGGCGGTGGCTCATGGCATAGTAATCCTAGCCGAGGTGGGAGGGCCTACAGCATTTAACAGTTTACACTTTCTTTAGTTGTTGCATCTCAGATGAAATAGGTGCTTTACGTTTAGGGGCCACATGTAAAATGACAAAAACAAAGCATCTTTTCTACCTGCACCCAGCATATAAAACTATGCTAATAACTAAGAATTTCATTAAAATAAATGTGTACAACTCCACTGTGTATGCCAGTACCATATGTCTTAAATTATCTAATTTATCTAATTTAATTTTCCACAAAACCCCCATATGTTATTATTCCTTATTTCAGAGGAAAATTTGACAAAGGTCACATGGCCTGTAAATGGTGACTCTGTGATGTAAATCCAGCTCTGTTCGGCCATGGCTTTCCATAATGCATGAGTGTTCTATGAGAGGCATACAACGGGTCTAAAAAAACAAAAAAGCTGATGGTATTTCTTAAAATTTATTTTAGATATATTTAAGAAAAATACTACCAACATTTATTTCAGTGTTCCTATTCTTATGCAGTGACCTGCTCACGAGGTGGCGATCCATACCTGAGAACGACAGCTGGCAGCCAGGCTGCCTGTGCACGAACACACGCAGGCAACATGTGCACCGTGAACAGGCGGTGTTCCACGGCCCATGGCAAGACGCATGTCCCTCCTCACCAAATGCTGGCCTCCCTTGCCCGGCTTGTTATGATTTAAACGTATCGATACATACATGTCTGTAATTATTCTTTCCTTTAAAATTTTTATTTAATCTAATTTGTTGATTTCCTTGTTTGGTTACAGAATAGAGTCTTCAAATGTTGGTGATTACCTACAGCATTTACTTCATCAAGACATACTTTGTGTCGTCATTTTGATCCAAGCCCAAGTGAACTCTTGTACATACATTTTCAAAGTATTCAAAGGTTAAATCTTTTTGGGAAATGTCGCAATGCACCACTACTTTCACAATTGGCAGATTAATATTTGTAAAGAGGACAGGTCATATCACCACAGCCTTATACCTGCCAGGGCTCTTTCCTGAACAGCTGACGAAGCCCAGCTCCAGGGCTTTACTGGCACCTACAGGCTCATCTCCTGTGCCG